CATTTGGTCATTCATTATCACTGCTGAAGCCAAAGAAAAAACTTTAAAGATTTTGTTCTATAGATGATTGTGATAATGTGGCGAGCAAAGAATTTGCAGGTTTTCTAATAATATATGATGTACAAAAATATTTTACTTAGATATTTATCAAATATGATAAGGAACACACAAAAAAATCTTTTGACAGGGTAAATGTTTTCGTCTCTCCAAATATTTATCCAATATCCATATTCCATTCTGGATTACTCCTATTAAGTCCTAAACTAACTGTGTAACTTAATACGGTTCCCTTGACACTTCCTTTTGATGAACTCTGTCGCTTTAAACATCACGAATCCAGCTTAAGATAAAATCTCGTCTACCATTCTGTAATATAAACATCCCATTTTTTGTACAACAAACTTCTCTTATTGTGCAATAATTCCAAAGTATAAAGGTTCTCGCAAATAAAAAGAAATTTACCCATATTTACCTATTAGTATGCTTTGTTAAATAAAAACAAGATTTGAAACTCGATCTGTGTTTCTTAACAAACATTAAGGGATCTCTTTCTTTATCTTTTAAATAATGTTGTACTTTAAGATCTATTCATATGCATATTTCAAGCTTAAAAGTTTTAAAATCAAGTTTCAGTAGCATTCTGTATCTCTTAAAGTTGACAAGTGGGAAACATAGTACGTGTTGCACCAAGTCATCACGAACTAGGTACTCCTTTATTTATACATAAAAGTACAGAACAGTTGATCTTTGGGTGTCTTTTAGTTTAAATGTATAAATATACATACTGTGGAATGACAAATTTTCGTGGGCGTTTAATTTTCGTTGTTTTAGAGGTATCCAATGCGAAATGCAAAATGTCTCAAATATCGAAAATTTGACCCCACGAAAATATATGATTTTACAGTACAGTCTGCTGTACATCATATCCAATACCATGTCTTAACTCATACTGACCTAGTCCATTTCCCTTCAACAGCAAGATTCTTAACTGTATTAAAATGTTTTCATATAATTTGATCAGCTGTCCTTTAATATGATGATTGGTTCTTAAAAAAGTAAGAAAACATATTCCTAGGATAATTCTATGCCTGTACCCTTTTGTTTCATTGAACCAATGGTATTCAAGTCCTAGAAGACTTTGACCTTTTTGCAAATACGATTTAGAGATTTATATGGAAACCTTTTTGCATTTAATATTGAATTGTGGTCCTGTTGTTCATTTCTATGATAAGATATACATGTATACACCTCTATGTTAAAATCTATATTTCTCCAGTCCTAACTCTGGGAAGCAATGGTTTGACCACTTTTGAATTTACACTACCAGGGAAGGCTTGTGTATTAATTTCCTTTTGACTGAGAATTTTAATACTCCCTCCGTATATTCAAATATCAACGTTAAGTCGCAATAATTCTGTGGCCTATTGATTCATATTTAATCCCTTTAAGAAAGCCACCTTGGAATTGTTGTCTTTGCATCAATGAACCCTCATTATTTCGCGACTTCTCTTCACAGGAGAAATGGTTCTCCATTTTATACTTGGAAAATTATCTTTTTGGTAAGGCCTTTAACTGCAAAATTCAAAAAATATTCTTTATAAGTGTAAAGTCGAATTTCCTTGCATCATAAAAAATGAATGTAGGTTATATTTTCAATATTGATTAAATGCTGCATCCTTAAGAAAGTCAAAATTTCATGCTACAAAAATGTTTTGGTAATGTACATCCCTAGCTGCACATCTATGCAATCTTGACCTTGTTAGAATTTCTACTTGGGAAAGTTTGGTGAAAGTTATCTTTTCAAAGTTAAATGTGGAAGAAAGCCTGGTAAAATTTAATCTTGCTGCATCATTCATGCAAGTTTTGTGGACTAAACAATGGAATAAAAGAAAAATTGGAAACAGCATCTGGAAACATAATTAGAAAGAAACAGCAATGCATTATGCATCATCCATGCACATTTGGTCGACATGCGGCTTAAATACTTACTTGGTAAATGAATTTTCTCAAACAACTTTAACATGGTCGTTTTTCATGAAAATGTAGGTTAGATCCATTATCTGAAGCATGTTATTAATATATATCCTTAAATACATTATCATAACAAGTCGTTTGTCATATTTTATGTGTTATAGTTTCTTGTGAATTGACCTGCTCAAAAACTTAAACTCCTCTTCCAACAACCAAATTAGGTTAGCAACAAGTCAATTATTGTGCATATTTACATATGCAACAACCATGCAAGTTTGGTCCATGATGTGGAATTTTTAGTAACTCTGGAGTGCACTTGCTCCTGGAAATAAACTAGAAAACAAACACATATATACACCGGGGATAAAGCATAATTTCATCCCCAGGATCTCCACTTCTTCAAGGTAAGCCAAGAAGAAGTGGCTTAGAAAAGGTGAACTATAGGCACTGGGCATTTAATGTTAAGACCATGGGACGCTTGTTATATAATATAAAATGTCATTTAAACTTTAACACACGTATACGTAGTTGGCTTGCGAGAGATTGGAGAAGTGATTTATACCCCTGTTTTGATATAAAATAAAATTTACAACCATGTACACTTATTCACCTGCATTTCCCCCCTCTGTTTTTATCAAATGGGAGTTCAATGGAATATGCGTATCACAATTAAATGTAACAACAAGCATTAGATAAACAAGTTAGAGCATTAGAATCAAGCCACAATCATCAATTTTCAAGTTTTTGCGTTACTACACTAATAAAACAGTTCTAAAACAGTTACTGCCAGTCATTTTTGGTATGAATGGATTCTTATTTAAAATAGCTTTATTCTACAGTAGACAACACTTTGTTCTGGTTATCATATAATGTAAGCATATAATGTAAGTACATAATGTTAATTCTTAAATCTAATATTAATAGAATTGAATTCAAAAGAATGTAATCATTCATAATTTTCTTCTAACATGTTCTTCACATTTACTTCTTCTGCGGCATAGGTTCTACCTTAAATATTTCATTAAAGTAAGATAAATTTTTAGCATGCAGACATGTTAACATTCACAATAATGATTCATGATAAAAGAGCGATTGATAAAAATTTCCATCACGCAACACAATGAATAACTGAAAATTGCTTTTAAAAAATAAAAAAAAATCTCCCTTGGAATGACCCCTCTTTATTATTTACAAAATTGTACTTTTTACCGAATCAAAATATGACATACGGTTCAGATCGAAGATATGTGCATAATGCCCTGAACTCCACGATTTTGACAAACTTTTAAGTGCATGCACAAGGTTTAGTGTTCCAGTGCACTTTTCCCAATAATCTCTATGACAGACACTTAAAAGGAAAAAACTGTGTCTCAATCTTATGAATTATATTTTGTCTACATCAAACAATTACGTAAATCATGTTGACCGTCTGACAGCCTATGTACGGTCATGAAGTTTTACCATTGAATATGAATATATTAATCATCTACTTAAGGGTGGTTACGGATGGTTGTGCACGTTTACTTAAAATTACCATTTGAATGTGGTGAAAGGGTTTTCAATACCGCAAGAGGATTTCGTTCAAATCGTATTTAAACTATTTCTTCCCAAGTCCTTTATTTGTGAAGGCATTCTCTGTGTGTTATTAACGACACTGAATTTGTTTTCGTTTAAAAATCCACTTCGATTTTTATGTTCCTCGGTTGGTCAGTTTTTGATGAATAACAAATCTGGCTGACCGAGGTCGCACAAAGCTCCAACAATACTGGTCACTGTTAATGCATTCCGTCAACAACATCGATTTGAAATAAAAATTTCTACGAGAAAATTAAATCTACATATATCCAGAACATTAAAACTTGTTTTGTATTTCTACCCTATTTTTTCAGTGTGCACCTATACGTATCAGATGGAAATTTACCACAATTTGTGTATTCAATAGGTAATTTTTTTTTACTGGAGGGTTTTATGTCTTTTAAATAGTTTTCTACTTTCCGTGGTTAGGCGGATTGTCACGTGACTATATACAATGAATATTTTTAACTTTTTAATAACACATATTTTTGTAAAAGGTAAAAAGATTTACTGAAAGAAAACTCTTCAACTTTCAATAGATGATGTTTTTAGTAGGAATTTTTGGTGTTTAAAAAGTTTTTAATGGTTTTAATAAATGCAAGAAAATATAAAAGAAACCAAATGAAATGGACATTTTTTTTTTTTTTTTAAAAATTCATATTCAAATCCATATAAGCAAAAAGTAAATGTTTTCCTAGGGAATATAAACTATATAAAGATAAACAAAATCCAATCAGCGAGAAAAGGCTAACGTTCTGTGTTGGCGAAAATGTTATGTTCATTGATGTGAGAAACATTCTTGGATTGTAACATGTTAGAACATATATCAATCTTATAGTTCATAAAATGACATGTGTGTAAACCTATTAAGGAAAATACAGCGTTATGAAGAGTGAAATGGACAAAACATAGTAGCCAAACACCATGTCGTTATTGTTTTGTTTCTTCTTCTTTTGACTGAGTTCATATTGATACATTAATATCAAATATATTCGGAATTCTACATAACTGATCAAAGTTCTAGAGCAGTAGGCTAAATAGCATCCGTCTTTTCCATTTCACTTTTTTTTAGACTATTATAAATTGCATCATTGAAAAGTATTCCAAAGCAATCCTTACAATTTCGTACCACTTTATTTTACAAGAAATATACGTAAATGTATCAAAGAAATAAATATATTTTTCGGATACATTGTGCAATCGAATGATGTAAACAGCTTCTGAAATGCGTAACATCGTACCAGCATTAGCATTTGACCATGAGGAGTAAACCTAACAGTGATCTATAAAGTCACAGCCGGTGTACACGTCCTAGGGCACAAGTCAAACTAGAAAACAGATGAAAATAAATGTAATTCATCAACATGTCCACACGTTTGGATGGACTTTAGATTGTCACGGATTTAGTGAATCACTTGACCAGCGAATAAAAGTGGTCGTGGACATTTCCTTACACGAAAATACTGTCGCTTATCGCTCCATATTTCTTTGGGGAAACAGATTAATTACTTGACAATTTATAGATCATGCAATTCATTTTGCAACTTAAAATGAGAAAAACACCAAGGAAAGGGCATTTATATGCATTTTTCAAAAGTATATTGTATAATAATTTTGTAAATAAATATCTCGATTCTTAAAATTAGGTTAACGTACACTTTAAGCCTTTCGATGACGAAAAATAAATTGCCAATGCACTAAATGACCTACAATGCACGACGTAATGTTCCTGAAGGCATATTTTTTGATAAAATGAGACTTCGTTTTTTATTCATTGTAAATATTAGCACATGACTAATGTCAGATTTTATATGCATATTGTACAGAGCAACAAGTATCTCGCATATATACTCGAATATTCATTTTATTTTTATTTAATGTTTCTCAAACAGTTTGTTTATAAAAGTGTAATTCCAGGTTCACATTAAAACCTCCTCAAAATCCTCAGGTAAATGCAATGCCAGCCTTAACTAGAGCGTAACAAGACCTTTCAAACTTACAAAGAAGGTGTATATGTGCAAGTACACGTGTATTATTTCTATGAGGGCTGTGTTTAATGAACCGGTTTTCTATAATGAAAATGTTCCCGCTCCTTTCAAAATCCCACAGTGTAGAGATCTTGATATAAAAGTTGAAGATCAACAAAGTAAAAACTTGACATTCAGTTAGCCGTCAACAATTGCAACGAGGAAAATATCTGTAATATAATAACAACTTGGAATAGGTGTAACGAAGTACTAAATATGCAAATTTTTCATTATAGTCCATACATGTTAATCGAAAATACATAAATAAAAATACGTATAAAGAATTCTTTAATAGTAAATGCATTCAAATCGGGGGGGGGGGGGGGCTACATTGTAAAGAGCGAAATATTAATTTACAATTACACTATATATCATTACATATTAGAAAAAAAATTGTAAACATGAATTTTGGGCCAAATTGGAATGAATCTCTCAAAGTATACCGGGGTATAAAATATATAATGACATCAAAAAGCCTTAAAAAAATCATAATGATAGCCATCGTGAATTCTTGAGAATGTGCATGGTATGACAAGCAAGAGTATGAAAAACAGAGCTATAACCAAAATGAATTAGAAATTAAAACAAGCATCCTTTTTGTAACCTTTCTTTTATTTATTGTAATGAAAGTATGTGTGAATGTCTGAGAAAATTATCAAAATATATGGTTAACACTTGTAAAATAAACTTTCTCAGAGAACTTATTCAGAGAAATATGTCACGTTTGTTTAAATAAATGCTCTATGCAAGTATGCATTTATGAATTTTTATAATCAAAAAACCTCGAATGTCCAAGTATGACATTAAGACAAGAAAGTCAAAAATGGATGGAAGTCTGCGTTTCCTTGTATTTAAAACCAGTTCCAAATTCATATTGGGAGTATATTTTTGTTCAGAGTTTCGCCCTTATTCTCATGCATTGTTTTACCTTCCTTCACGACTGTATTAATATATATCTTTTTGCTATTAATTGATAGGTTGTTTGAAATGCTTTTAGGATTGCCAAATTTTTAGTTAAATTTCAAATGCACTTCTTTGACGTTTTCCCCCTATATCGAAATTTGTATGTGGGGAAAACTTACACACCATATTCATTTCACCATAAGATTGATGGGCCATAAAATTTTGCAGTGCCCTGGTAGACAATTCAAGGACTTGCATCTTAAAGCGGCTTTAAATATTCGATTTTACCAAAAGAAAAAGAACATGGTACAGTTGTATACAATAACACATTTGTTTGGGATAGAGATTTAAAATTTGGACTGAAAAGTATATTTTTTAACCCTTTGTTAAGCTTAGAACGAATGAAAGACAAAAATCAGATTTCTTTAGAGTAAAATATTTGAAGGTACTTTTTAGCCCTATCGTCCCCCTTTAAGTATATGCGCGACAGAAGTAGTATTCAAACTAATCAGCTCCTCTTTCCAATTTCTTCATGATTGAAGAAATATACATTGTTCCTTTTCTCTCCTCAGAGAAGTCTGTAAAATCTAAATAGTTTAAATAGTGTTTGCACACAACTTTTATATCAAACTGTGAAAACAACAAATATAAAGTGTCACGCATAAGTCAACTTTATAAATGCCTTTTAAAGATACGTTTAACAGTTTCTTCACAGTGAATTAGACATAGAAAAACAGTCATTCTTTTTATAAATCTTTCTTTCATTCCGTTCCTTTATAAAGGCATGCCTTGGCATTTTGGAGAGCATTTATAGATATTATAAGTTGTTCATCCTTTCTGACTTTTTCTGAATAAATAATAACTCAAGTTTATACTAATCGATACCAACATATTTGTAATTGTACAAAGTTTCCTTCAACAATTTAATCAAAACTGATAATATAAAAGTGATAATTCTTGAAACAGTTGGCAATCATTTACAATCAATCACACAGTTGTCTTTTTTTCTAATGTTAAAAGCCTTTTCTTCATTATAGAGAAATAGCACATGCTTAATATGTATATTTTTATTACATCTTTTGTTTTTTGCAAAACATGGAGCAAGTCCCAGTACGAAATAAACATACAATTTCAACCTTCTGTAAATAATTTATTTCATAAAAATAGGATTTAACTACAAATACGATTTCTCGAAGAGACTTATATTGATACCTGTTTGCATTTAATATTGAATTAAGGTCTTGTTGTTCATGTCTATGATAAGATATATACGTACATCTCTATGTTAAAATTAGTGTTGGCAAGTCCTAACTTTAGGAACCGGTTAATAGTTCAACCTTATAGTAAATAATTTATTTATATGTATCATTTATCTCATCTATTACTCAATTTTTCTAATAAAACACATATGAATTAATTTTTATAAAGTTAAAAAGATTAATTCAACAATTTTAAATATTTATCATCAAAAATTAATTAAATAAGAAGAAAAATAAACATTAAATGTTTCACGCTATTTTACAAAGGGTTGTATTACCCCCGATATATGTCACAATTCAAGGAAATAATTATTGAAATTTGAAGTCACGATAACACCAATTCACATTTATTACATTTTACAGGTATGGTATCAGCTGTTCTGTTGACAATTTCACTATACATATACATGATATATATCGGCATCTTGTTAAATTATTTAATGAGGTAATTATAACTATTTCAAACATTGTATAACCTGCTAGGAAAAGTATCAATTGTGTGAAAACCAATCAATCGTATTTAGTGAAAATAAACATTAAGTCATACGATAAAGAAAATTACACTTATAAACAAATTAACATTTTATTTTTTTTATTTACCATATTTATTTTGCCGAGTAAAAATGCAATTTTATAATGAAACTGTATGTAAGAAGAAGGTTAACCGGTTAACCTTTATTGTGCCCTAAAAATGTAATTTGACATCAAACTTTAGGAAGTAATAGGATTTAACTTTTTAAGCTTCAACCTAACGCCTTATAGTAAACCAATGTAATACTGTACATGTATACGTAGAAGCCAATTTTTCCAAAATTAAAATATGCTGATTTTTGCAGGCTTAGAGATTAATTCAACATTTTTTAAATTCAAACATTTTAATAGCCTGGAAAATTTGATGGCACATTTCAAGGGTGATTTTCCTTTGAAAACAGTGTCAGGTTGCCACGTTAATTTTTTTGTATTTTGAAGAAAATTTAATAACAAATCACGATATTGAAATCTTTGTGGGCGATGCCCGTGGACATTGTTATCTGACAGAAAATCACATAATTAAAAGATATATATCCCATCAATTTCACCAAATAAACTATTTTAAACATTTTGAAGGAAAAGTAATGTATGCATAATGTAACTGGTTAAAATAAACAATGCATACCACTAAACAAGCTTAAAGCAATATGGATTGCATTTTTTTTTGCATTTTATTTTGCTGTAAAAATGCGTTGTTATAATAAAACGGTATGTAATTTAAATATCTAGAATAAGATAAAGTACTACCTAGTACTGGAGTATTCAATTTTTTCATGAGAAAGATATCCGTTCCATAAAATGTGTGGTATTACATGAATATAAGAAATCTATATTGTACAGGATAACAATAAATCGATTTTGCTTTAATCAAAGCTTATAAATATTCTTCCGAAATTGCAAATATGAACAACAGATGTTTGTAAACGTCCCTTTTCTGTCACTGAAATAGTTAGTTACAATTTCCATTATCAAAGTTTCAGCTCATATTACTTTAAAGATTGAATGTGTTTTACACGACAAAGAGTATATGCAAAGTTTATCCCGGTAGTCATTAAATGATAAACTGAGAGTGTCGAATAGAATTCATGGTACTGCCAAGTTCTTATACCCGAGAAAATTTCTATACTTTCTCAATAATTGAAAACTAATATTTCAAAAATTCAGAATTCTGATTAAAAAACACTGCAAAAAATTCAAACTGGTTGTCTTTTTGGACATTTAAAACCTGAAATTTGTAGTGAGAGAAAAAAGGTCTATTTTCAACAAACGATTTTAACAGGATCGGTATGTTAAGAATAGTTCCCCACTGGAGCATTAAAATACTGAATACGTATCTACAAAACTTTGTTTACTTAAATTAAACATCTTTTATTTGCTTACATTCTACTATGATTAGTGTGAAACTAGGTATAGTCTTCCTAAAAGTATTGTTTAAAAGTTTCGTTTGGTTATAATCCCCTATTGCATTCTTGCCCATGACAGACCCCTTGTTATCTGAATGCATTATATTTGAAAAAAAAACTATTTAGGCTTATTCTTGTTTACAAGCATTTTATTCATGAGAAATACAGCCAGGTATATCTTTAATAGAATTTTCCCCTTACAATAACAACTATAATCATTCAAAGTGATGAGAACTGACATCCTACACACAAGCAATGTCCTAATCACATACTTTTGTCTAAGCAATATAATATTTTTCATTTCTTTAATTTCAGGGGAAGGAGGAATTAGAGCGTGGTAACTGGTCAGGACAACTAGACTTTATTTTGTCCTGTATTGGTTATGCCGTAGGTTTGGGAAATGTTTGGCGATTTCCATATCTTTGCTACAGAAATGGAGGAGGTAATATATGTAAAAATTCATCCCCTGACAAACTTTACTCATGAACATTACGCATTATTATTATTTCTTTGCTGAAAATTGATAAAGTTGAATATAAATCTGATTGCAGGTGCCTTTCTTATTCCTTATGCGATCATGTTGGTCATCGCTGGAATTCCACTGTTCTATTTTGAACTTTCTTTCGGCCAATTTGCCTCAGAAGGTCCAGTCACAGTGTGGAAAGTCAGTCCATTTTTCATGGGTAAATAATCACTCTAAAAGATATTTTCTTTTAATGATCTTTTCCCAAAGATGTATATAAGTTTGTTTGAAATTCTTCATCACACTTGAAAGTAAAGTTATTCTTTATCTTTATTTCCCCTTGGATTTCAGGTATTGGCTGGGCGATGTGTCTGATCAGTGCTATGGTCAGCATTTACTACAACGTCATCATCATGTACTCAATCTACTATATGTTTGTGTCCTTTGTCAGCATAGACACAGTGTTACCATGGCAGTCCTGTAATAACACATGGAATACAGATGATTGCAGAATTAAGCCGTATCCGAAATTATCCGAGATGGATGAAGGCAACAAATCAGCAAGCCTTCTGAGTAAGGAAATCAATGAATAAAAAAATATGAATACTAGTAGTAACGTGGACACACGTTCCAACATGAGACATTGTAGGCATATAAAACAAAATCATATTTGTCTGCACTTTACATTTATCTCCATCATCATTTATTTTTTAATTACAGCACTGAGCTTTCCTGCCTGCCTGAACAAAACTTTAGAGGATGTAAATAGTTTCTATGACACAAGCTATACGGATTACTCACAATACAACTCTACAATCCTACAGTCCAACTTCACAGAAGCATGTAAAAGGAAATTTAGAACAGCAAGTGAAGAATTCTGGACGTAAGCGATTGGCTTAAAAATTTCTACAAGTCGTGTAAATCTTTTCATTGTGGCAAAATAAAGTTGAGCTTCATTAGAGACAAAATTATTTTTTTATGGTGCCTTGAAAGGCGACGATTAAAATAGTTTTAAAAATATAAAAAATATTATGCCTTTTCTCTTCTATATTAAATATAGGAGACAAGTGCTTCAGCTGCAAGATGCACCTGAAGGTTTGGATGATATTGGTGACGTCAGCATTAGAAATCTTATCTGTTTACTGTTTGCATGGGTTTTTATTTTCTTCTGCCTTATAGGATGGTGTACAACATACATATAGGAAATAAAGTACCAGTATGTTCTAGTATTTACGTTATTTTTAAAAAGTTTTAAAAATATAAAAAATATTAAAAATGCCTTTTCTTGTGGACAGGACCCCCCCCCCCCCCCCCAATATTCAACCCCGGGGCTTGTTGAACATATTTTTTTTCAAAAATTATATTTATTACACTTATTCATTATGTGTACAATATGAAAAAATCGTCAAAACCCCAAAACAATTGCTCTACAAAAAAAAATACCCCACTATACATTATAAGGGAGAAAGGTATGCCACTCCGGTTTGAAATTTCCCTAAGTAAAAGCAACGGAAGTGCATAGAGAATGTATGATAAAACCCGAGAGAGATTATTACGTCAGTCCAAAACTCTCTCGGACGTTATCCTAATAAGTAAAACATTCTCTATGCAAGGAAATTTCAACGTTCTGACTGGAAAACTGTTCAAGGAGATAATCAGATATTGTTGGCTTCTTACGAGATGCAGATTTAATCGGAAAGCATGCACTAAGACAGAAATATATGTAGAGACGATGTGAATCGACATTTTAGGTTGAAATAAAATATATACATGTTTTTAAACCCAGAAAGACCATTGGGGGTACAACGTAAACAAACCGGAGTGGCATACCTTTCTCCCTTATAATGTATAGTGTGGTATTTTTTTTTTTTGTATAGCGATTGTTTTGGGTTTTGACGATTTTTTCATATTGTACACATAATGAATAGGTGTAATAAATATAATTTTTGAAAAAAATGTCGAATAAGTCCCGGGGTTGAATATATATGGGGGGGGGGGGGGGGTCCTGTCCACAAGTACCTGTGGATTCAGTGAGGCAAACTATTAACCCTATAACTAACATTCATCGGTAGATTAAAGACAAACAAACCCAAATGAAAATCCCTACTAATGAATTCAGTGAAGTAAATTAATTTTCCCTCTCCAAAATACACAAATCATCGATGAAGTGCAATTTATTACAGTCGTGCATTGAAAGTGGAATAGGTGAACTGAACAAATAATAATAATTAAAGCTGTGGGGAAAATATTATTGATACAACTCCTATCTAACGGGAGCATATTTTAAAATAAATTACATTTAAACGTACACCTACTTTGGGATGGTCACCCATTCTCAATATAAGGGCACACATGCCTCTCTGATTTTTTAAAAAATTCAAGAAAACAATTTTTCTATCAATTACCTTTGAAAGAAATATGAAGATTTTGTTTCCAGATTTTTTTCATCAAATTATAATACATGGAATAATGACAAGACGATAAAGCAGAGGGTGATTTTATTCAGAAATGTAGCTTGAAATGTACGTTACTCTCTCTTCAATGTCCAAAAAGATATGTAAAAAAAATGTAATCATTAAAATCACAATTGGAATAGTTCATCTTAACACCAACACATCCTACCAACTCTGTCAGCAACATAAAAACGTGCGTTTGACTCTTTCAAAAAGCAATGGTTACTTTTTGATCCAGATGTATAAAAACATTTTTTAAATATATCCTTTAAATTCTTCTCTCTGTTTTGTTTAGGATAGTTTGGAATCTTGTCATTTTCTATAGATACTGGAACCTAACATGTCATGTAGTAAAATTCTATTTTGTAGTTACTGTCTTTTTTAACATATAAGATTCGTAAATGTGTACATTTCAAGATATATTTCTGTTTGATAAAAGGCTTAAAATTAAGTTCATCGTTTTGTTTCAGTTTATTAAAAAAAAGATTCTCTATGTAATCACATCGTGTTATATGTCGCAATCACCACTATAAAGACACGATTGCCTCAGAATATGAGTAGGTAACGTACATTTCAAGCTTGTAATAAAATGTAAATTAGTAATAAGAAAATTTTGAAAAAAAAGCAATTATTGACATAAAAATCATTTCAATGAAGCATTTTAAGGCAGTAATAAGAAATCAAAGACAAACAATTTGTCATCCCAAATGTGAAAATCATTTCTACCAATCAATTCAGTGAAGTTCATTAATTGTGCTCTCAGACAAAAAATATAAGAGTCAGACGTATTTTGCTATGATCTCACAAACACACAAAGCATCGACAGTTTGTTAACAATTTCATTGAGTATGTTGCAATTTATGACAAAATGCAATAATTCAAACAAAACTGAGTATTGTGTGCATTGAAAAAGTCTTGTGGTTTAATATTTGTTTCTTTTTTTCTATTTTTTGTTTCTTTTTTTACCAATTATAAGCCCTTGTTTTAAATTATCAACAACAATTAAATTAATTAAAACTAAAAGTAAACAAACTGCAAAAAGGTTGCCAAAGATGAATTTAAGACTTAGAAATAAACAAAATATTATTGATATAATTGGATTTATGTGGCCAGTTGTCAAATGGATTGTAACGATAATTGGTAAACGCAATTCATTGACTAAATTAAAAAGAAATTAATCTTCAGATAAATTACATTTAAATATATACCTACTAAGAGGGATACAGGTTTCGTATTCAGAAATATAGGTATCAAAATTGTATTTAATTGACCTTAATATATAAGCAGAAACGTTTCTTTTCATTAATTTTGGGATTTAGCCGACCTCCAACCTTTGAAACTTTCCTTTGTGCAAGATCATGATCACTTAGCCACATTTGAAGCATGTAAAAAATAATTTTTAATTGTGTTGCTTTTTGTCATTATTTTTTTTTCTAAAATAAAATTCAAACTCTTATGTACCATGTTCAAATCTTAAACAATGGAATCGACAAATTTAGTGATTTACAAGACATATAAGAATTGTAAATTTGAATTTGTTTGAAAAGAAATATATGTGACAAGGTTGAAATCAAAACTATATAATTTTATTTCAGTACAACTATATGTAATCATTATGTTATTTTATATTTAATGTAAAATATTATTATCTACTTTTAAATGTAATTGATGGGTGTGGTAAGGATTTATTGGTTGGCAAGATCATGATCACTTAGCCACTTGAAGCAATGCTCTCATATTAATATATACTAGTATCTTTTTACATATAAGATTTGTTAATTTGTATTTGTTTTAAAAAGTAAAGAATTTCAGTAAAAAAAATCATTATGTTATTTTATAAATGTTAAGCCATGTTAATATATGTTCTGTCTACAAAACTATATAATAATAATAAACAAGGCCTCTCCTTTCAATAATTCTTGGTAAGAATAATATACCACCAACCATATTACTTCAAAAAATTATCCAATTGCCATCTCTATTCATGATTTATATTATTCCTAAACATATTTACAGCATCAACTTATGAACATGGGATATATCTTACATTTATTTTTAATTTGTGCATTACAGGTTGTGTACTTTACCGCCACTTTCCCCTATGTTGTGTTAATTATTCTCCTGATCAGAGGTGTAACTTTGGATGGTTATTACGATGGAATACTCTTCTACATCATTCCAAAATGGGAGGAAATTAGCAAACCAAAGGTAGTCATTTAACTTTGACTGTTTAAATGGTAGTCAATAGCTATCAACAAGCACATTTTGCGTCTAAAACATCTTGCTCTTTGACTTTATATAGGTATGGGGAGATGCAGCAACCCAGATTTTCTATTCTTTGGGTGTAGCCTTTGGAGGGTTGCTAACTATGGCCAGTTACAACAAATTCAAAAATAATACTCTAAGGTAAATATTCACATCCAATTCACTAGAAACTCCTTCATTGATCCTTTTAATATTACAAACAGCTAGAATTTTGTGATACTATTCTATTTCAGAGATTCCCTGATCGTGTCCTTAATCAACTGTTGTACCAGTGTCTTTGCCGGCTTTGCCATATTCTCATTGCTTGGCCACATGGCTTACATCACAAACAGAAAAGTTGAAGAGGTAGCAGATTCAGGTAAAAATCTTCAAATTCAATAAAGGATGATTAGTTCATTTCTGCAAATGACATTCCCCAGTTCAATTCAAAACTTGACTATAATTTTTATTTCTTTTTGCTAGGACCTGGTCTTGCCTTTGTTGCTTATCCTGAGGGAATTGCCAAATTAGCAGACCCATGGCCACCAATTGTTGCATTCCTCTTCTTTTTCATGATTTTCACCCTTGGACTTGACAGTCAGGTAAAGACAAAAGCAGTGTTGTGGTACTGTGAGAGCAATTTTTCTAAGAAATTACGTTCAAACGCTTTCTTCGTCCGAATACAATCAGTATAATATCATTTCCTGTAAATCATCAGTGCATTTAAATTTGACAGTTTGCAATGATGGAGACAGTCATCAGTGGCCTGTCAGATGTCTTTCCTCGCATCCTGAGAAGACACAAGACTCTTTTTACCTTTGCAGCATGTATGGTTGGATTTGTATTGGGAATTCCACAAGTCTGTAAGGTACAGATCTTTTCTCTTCAAAATACCAACTTAGAAATTGAAGTTTATTAATAAACTTGCATAATTTCTTTGACACCTTATACATAATGTAGGAAAATATCAGATTATCGGTATATTTCTTTTGCTAGGGAGGAATTTATGTGTTGACATTAATGGATTGGTACTCAGGAAGTTACAACCTGATGATAGTCAGCTTGTGTGAATTAGTAGCCGTATGCTATGTATATGGTAAGTTGTGCAATTTGATATTCGTTTTGGTAAAGTATTGTTTCAGTGTGTTAAATCTTAGCACTGAGGATTTAAAAAATACAATTTAGCATAATTATTTAAAGTTTTTGAATGATCTGCTAAATAATCGTGAACTATTTCTTTCTATTCATTCACAGGTGTAAACAACTTCAGGAAGGATATAGAAATGATGCTGGGTGGATTCCCTGGAGTTTTCTGGGTATACTGGTTTGTGACTTGGTGCTTCATCACACCAGTTGCGATTGTCGTAAGTAGTAGCAAAATCTTGTTATTTTCAAAATAATATTTCAATTGATCACTAGTATATTGTTCTCTCATATCCCATTTAGTATATAGATTTTGATATGAACAACTTATCAATTTATGTTGCAGTTTATTGTGATTATGTCCGGCATTACATATGCTCCTGCATACTACTCCAAATACGAAGGCAAATACATCTTCCCATCATTTGCTGAGGGTCTTGGCTGGCTTATGGTAGTATCACCACTGGCATTGATAGTGGGAGGAATGATTGTCCAGAGTATCCGATATGGTGGTGTAAGTTTAATAATTCAGTCTTAATTGAAATAATAAATTCATCTGGACTATGTTCATATGCCATGCTGCATCATTGAGATTTTCCCCATTGATTTTATTGGAGATTTATTGTTTTAAAATATAATTTGTATTTCCTTTTCTTAGATTGTAAAGGCTTTAAAACCTGAAGAAAGTTGGGGACCAGCTTTGGACGAAGACAGAATTGGTAGATACTCTCCACGACATGCTGCAGAATTTGGCAAGGATGGACCAGGGCCTCAAGGGGCAACTAACATGGGATATGTCAATGAAAAGAGCAAACCTTACGTTGTTGAAGGTGAAAAAAATGGTTATGATCAAAGACTGTGAAAAAGAGGACAAGAATTATAGCCATTTAGTGATCATCTCAATATTTTAGAAACTTTACTTTCCCCCTTTTTATATTGCTTTTGTTTTCCCGTCTTTTATATACGATAGTTTATCCTTTATATGTTGTGATATTATTTCTTTGAAATAGGCATATTATTAGGGTTTTAGTTTTGTTTTAGAATGAGGTGACTCAAAGTCAAGTGATTCAAAACTTCGCAAAACATCGTATAACTAGTAAAAAAATGTCCCCAGTTCATATTTCATTCTATGGCAGTAAATGAAGCTGTGATCAATTTTTTTTAAATATGCAAAACATAGAAATCCTATTGGCATTGCATTATTGTGACTTTGGTTAACTTTTCTAAAAACTGTATACAGGTGAATATTTAGTATAGAATGGCAAAATGATCTTCAAAAAATTGATTGTTCTATAATGATTCTTGAGAGTGTGCAATATATTTTGATGACAAGAAGGGTATATATATTTATACATAGATAGATGCAACTGCTCATTTCCACATATCAATACAGAAACTCTGAGTCCTCTGCCACCATCTTCCATCTTCTCAAAAAAAAAAAATCAAGTACTACAGCAATTGCAGTGTTCAATGTCTTGAATCTGGATAATTCGGCAAAGGTGTTTATGTATAAACAGTTTTGCTTCTGGAACAGATTTCAATAGACAATCTGTAGAAGATGGGCAAATGACTTGCTAACCGAATATACACCTTTACTTCTTTGTTAATAAAATTGATATACTTTTTTATATTAAAAGGCATATCATGAAAATTCCACTGATTTTTCAGTGCTCAATATTCAGGTTTTTAATGAATATCCATAACATTGTACAGAGGTTGTAACTTACTGAGGTTGCTCAAGTCTTAGAGGTATATTGTCTTAACCAGATGAAATATATGCATAGCGATAATACTGTTTATTTTTTATAACTTTTTAAAAAATGTTTTTGAGTATTTACATTGTAAAACTTATCTCTCTGTATATCATATATCATAACTTTTTTATATAAAACACTACGAATTAAAAAAAACATAAAAGATCTTTGCTCTTATGGTTTGTTTGATGAGAACTTTCATGGAGCATTCAAAATATGATTCATATCATACCAAAGACCATGAACCAAAAAGCTCAAATGAGTCACACTTTTTCTTGTATTAAAGTTTTTTGTATTGTGTTTTACGTGAATAAGCGGAAGTGGTGCAAAAGGTGCTAAATTAAGAACACTTTTAATAAGATCAGCAGTACATCATTCTAAATCCAAGAAAAGTGAAATCAAAATGTTAGTATCTAAGCTTACCAAATCCACTCCAAAGGATTACAAACGTTATGATCATTCTTCATGTCCTGGATGCATACCAGCAAATTGTTGCAGTCGTGCTTTAAATCTCTGCAAAGCAGATTTGTTTTTCTGAAATAAAGATAACAATTTTCTGTAAAATTGCCATAGTTTCTTACAATAAATTTGGAACATTTAAGTCTGAATAAAATACTTGATTATCTAAGTAGTCTTCGATGAAGTCTTCTGGGATATGTGGCAGAGGAGGAATGCTTAATACTGATGGACCTAGTCAGCAAGAAATAAATCAACTCTTTTAATGTAAATAAATTAATCAAAAAACAACATGAAAAGTAGAAACAATCTTTAGATAAAAATAAAAATGATTAATGTTAGAATTTTATACCAAACATGGAGGTCAAAGATTCCTCATACAACATAATAACTTCAAGTGCATCTTCTTCTTCTACACGGTTTTTAAGACAAAGTCTGGCATGACTTTCTGCCATTGAGATTCTACAAATGTTTACACGTGAAATAATTTATGAAGCCACTATATTCATTTGTCAAAAAATTAAACCAGCACGATTACAAACTTGCCAGCTGTGAAGGTAAGAAAAAACCTGTACAATTTTTTTTGTTCATCACAGGTGAATTGATTTTCTCCCTACAATATATAAACTTTTTTTGAATGTATTCTAATTGTACAATTACTCACAGTGCCGATAAAGTACCAGACGTTATAATGCTGCCATTAGACACGTTTCTAACTTTCCGTGTTGCAAGGTAATATCCATGAAGAAGTTTTTCAGCTTCTTGTGTCATTCTCACAGTAAGATTTTGGGAATGCTTTAAAAACTGGAAAACAATTTTGTTTATATTCAAATACAAAGTCAAATAAATGATAAACTTGGCGATTTTTAAAAATAATTTAAAAGAATGTTTGGAAAGAAAACATTTATATTCTAAGTTTGATATATTTGTTAATCCTTTATAAATCCTTGCATTACATGCTGACTCTTGGCTCATGCATGTTTGATAAATATAAGTATTATAATTTAGCAATGACCTGCTCCAAAAACATTCACCTATTCACTCATCCAGAAAATGTTGGTCAGATCCAGCATCCGAAAAGAAAGGCTTGTACAATTTATTCCTAGATGCATTTCCCATGTAATTCTAATTATAATAGATGGGTAAATACTTATATATCTAAATAGATAATTGAATGCACATAGCACTTATGGTTATGTTGGAATGGACTTGCTCCTAAACCCTGAACTGGAATGCCAATGACAACGGTGTAGCATACATGTAAGCTCATCTCGACTATGATAAGATAAGTACAAAATTGGATTTACCTTCTCAATATCATTGAAAGACACTGGAAAATGGAAATCCTTCTCTGCCCCTCTCATTGACATTTTCAGGGTTTGGTAAGAAGTGTGGAAATTCACTTCCTCACTGTGTGAGAACTCATCCCCATCTACGATCTGAACAATGCTGAAAGCTCTGATAAAATATTGAGTTGTTTATTAAAATTCCTAAATCTTCTTATAACCAAGTTCATCGTCAGTATTTTGAACCAAAACTTTCTTCAATTGTACTTTTTGTCCCTTTAAGAATATTTTATCAAAGTTGAGATAATGGATGAAGACCTGTATTAATGCCCAGTGAGCAGTGCTGCGCCAAATCTACGACTACACCGTGAAATCACTGCTTATAATGTCAAACAATACAATGTAGCAATCAAACATAACAACTCCAACCTATTTCAACAATTTTTCATGAAAAAACAATACCTTAAAATAATAGGTTTTTAAATTGCTGACATCTTACTCTGAAAAGGCTCTCGTCAAAGAGCTTGTTTCTCCATCACCAAGAATTTCTTCCTTAAGCCTTTTCTGGTTTATCTTGTCAGTATAGGCCCATACACTACACTGTAATGGTTGCTCAATGGATACAGCCAGGCCTTTTGTGAATTTACTGTCTATATCAATCAGCACT